AGGAAGGAAAGGAGGGGGAAGGAAGGAAGAGAGGGAGGGAGGGGGTGTCCTAGGGAAATGAGCTATTGCAGGCGGGGCAAGGTGAGCGGAAAGCTATGTCTGTCACAATCTAGGAGGCCTTGCTGCAAGACAAACAGGTCCTTTCGCAAGAGCACAGAGACCACCAAGAAACGGCCTCCACTGGCTACATTTGGGGCAATTTGAGCATTAAAAGGGGCCATGATGGTAACAGTTAAAATGCACAGTAATAATACTCAGCAAGTGGGAGAAGGAACAAAAGGAAGAAAGGTAAAAAGCTTGCTTTTCCCCAGCAGCGCGTCAGCTATTAAATGCAGAGAGTTGGAAACTCTGTCTTGTGACAGGCTTGGGTAGTAATGAATACACCAAGGGGTCACCACAGAGGCAGTCGGTGCTCAAGGAACCATGGGGGGCCTGGGTATTCACACGATCTTAGGTACTGGCTCTTTGTTTGCTCATCTCTACAACACAAAAAATGACAGTCACTTCCTCAGATGCGCCATCAAATTAAGTGCCACCGGCAGTGAGATTGTTCGGCACCGTGTGCTGTAGCAGTAGAATACAGGATGCGCCATGTCACCTTGTGTCACCTCTGCGGCACCCTTGACAAAAAAACCCTCAGCAAATCTACATGAGAGGAGACAGACACACCCAGAGCACGGGACATATAGTAAGACAACTGGCTCAGGTATTCAGAAGCCACAGTGCCGTGGGGAGAAAAGCAGAACGACTAAGGATCAAACTCGAAGCTTCTTCATGGACTGGACAAAGAGAGAAATAAAAGATAAGATCTGAAATCATCAGAGAGTCCAGAGCACAGGCTGCGTGCCGTGTATTACTGACTTGGCACCCACCTCCCTGTGGGGCAGTGCCCCTGGCATTGCCATTACATGGGAGATACAAGGGCGATACGTTTAGGGCTGAAACGTCATGACATCTGCACTGAATTTCAAGTTGATCAGCCCCCAAGATGTTATGTTCACAGAGATAAAACAAAGGAGGAAGATGCAGTGGATCAGGTGCAGGGGTATATATTTTTTGATTATATAGTTCTTTCACTTTTTGGGGGCCTGGTGACCTTCCTAGGGGTCAGATAGGGGCTGTTGCTCTGGCTGCAGCTAGGGACGTGGCTCGAAATGCAACCGTGGGATAAATCATGAGGGCTCCTCTCCTGTCCTTTGCCCACTAGGAGATCCCAAAGTAGCCCTGGAATCAGCCTGGTGATAATGACAGGGAATTTTGTTTCTTCAGATGGGCTAAATTGCCTAATGATCAGATTGGCCCCTGTCAGGGGGTTGATAAGTGGAGAATGTCAACTATGTTTTCCTTAGAACCCAGTTTCCTCAGCCCTAATTGGGCCAATGCCCACAGCTTCCTGGTGTCTTCCTAAGATGCCTGCCTGTGAGGACTTTCCACAGCATAGCCAAGGGCGGCCAGCATCTGGTCTCCCAGCTGTGCTGACATAGGCCTCTAGCTGATGGCCAGCAATCCTTGTCTGCCACTGCCAGGAGGCCGTGGTATTCTCAACTTTTTCTTTTTTGGCAATACTGGGGATTGAACCCAGGGCCTTCGCTGTAAGTTGCATCCTCAGTGCTCCCCACCCCTACTCTTTGAGACATGTTCTCACTAAGTCTCTAAGTTGCCCAAGGTGGCCTCATATTTGGGATCCTCCTGCCTCAGCCTTCCACAGTGTTGGCATTCTCTCCTTTTAGTACAGGTGACCACTCTTTTAATCCGCCTCTTGGAGAAAATGAGGTTTAGCTTGAAAAGGAAAGAACAGGAAGCTTCTTCATGGATTGGACAAAGAGAGAAATAAAAGATGAGTTCTGAAATCATCAGAGAATCCAGAACACAGGCTGCTTGCTGTGTATTACTGACTCTGCACTCACCTTCCTGCAGTGCCCCTGGCATTGTGATTATGTGGGAGATACAATGTGGGATTATGTGGTATATGTCCTGGGTGACATAAAGCACATGCGGTATTGCTGCAGGAAGGAGCCTGATTTGCTGACCCTTGGTTGCTCCTTGGGGTCTAACGTCTTCCTGACTCAGCCTACTTCCCCCACTGCAGTCTGCATACTGTGACCTGTGCCTCTGTTCCCGCCCAGCTCCCCATACTTTTCCCTTCCCCAGCCGACTACCTGCCTTCCTCCTGCACCTCTTCCTGTTCCACTCCATGGCACTTTGCTTTTGAAGTGTTTACTCCTGCAAAAGCTCTGTGGCCGCCTTGCAGGGTTATGGGACCTGCTTGTTCCAGCCCCAGGCCTTAGAATAACCCAGAGCTTCTGTATCTTTCCTCTTCTTGGTCCCAGCAGGCCCCAGGAGCATGTCTGGGTCCCACAGAGTCTGCAGCACAGCTGCCCGACCCCACCAGGGCTCCTACCCACTTCAGTCATGAAGACTGATCTGTCCACCCCTGCTCAGCTTCCACAGCAGCTGAGAAGTCTCAACACAGAGGGCAACCTCCTTGTTTTTCTTTTTTAGTCTTTTTTTTTTTTTAAGATTAAAAAACCTAAGAAAACAACAATGAAGACAAAATCAAAACAACAGAAAAACAACAAAAAGGATACATGACCTCAAAACAAAATAATAGGATTAACAACGGTTGCTACATTACGTACTGTTATCTTCAACGAAGTTGCTCCGTCCACCAGACTAAGAATGTAAGATTGATCAAACAATCAAAGACAGTAACAAGTCATAAAAACAAAAACCATTGGAAACAATGCAGAGCTTCACCATACAAAATGGTAGGAGTTCAACAATGGTTTTATTGCAGCCTCCTTCTTAAGCACAAGTCCCTACCAGGCCTCCCTCCACCAGGTTCTGCTTCTACCTCTCTGACTGCTGGCTGCAGTGCCGGGCCCGGCTATGTGAGCTTTCCCTCGCCATTCCAGGTACAGAGTGAGGCCTCTCCACCCTACACTCCTGCTTCCCACTGCTGGGCACTCTTGCACGCTAAGACACCCTGACCCCGCCACCACTCTGGTGAGCCCTCCACTGGGCAACTGTCCCCTGTGACCCAGCTGCATCCCTGTGGCAGGCAGTGCCTGGCCCACGGTCTCTCACTCATCCCTTACTCCACACACACAGGAGCACCTGCTTCTGTGTAGACCCTGTGCGTGGCCCAGAGTGGGTGTGTCTGAAAGAGGACCCTGCCTTCAAGGAGCTTACAATTTAGGAAGAAAAGCATGGGAATGGACAAATTAATGTCACACATTTGAACTCTAGAATGAGCTATAAAGATCAATGAAGATAGGGAGGGGGAAGAGAAGGATGGCAGGAGGGTGTGGGTGCTGTTGACAGCAGGTCATCTAACACCCATGGCAAAGAAGAGGAGGAGGTAGAGACAAGGTATGCAGCTGTCTGGGCAGAGCCTCTGGGATTAGGAAATAACAAGAGCAAAGGCCCTGAGGCAGTCAGAACAGCATGGAGGGTCATTTTAGTCCCTCAAGAGAGGCTGAGTGACAGCACAGAAGCAGGATAGCTTGGAGAGGAGGGTACACGCTGCCCTCCCTGTTCACAGCAGCTGTTACCTTACCTCAGTGACAAGCTCCTCTTCTTCCTCTGCACGAAGGGGCCTAAAGAGAGGAATGGGGGTGTTAGGAGGAGTGGTGCTTGGTGCCCCTTCTGAGTTGGTCTGCGGCAGTGTTCTGGTCCCCACAGCTTCTCCATCCAGGTCCCGGGGCCCTTAGCTAAGCACACAGGGGTACAAGTTGTCCTTAGGCCCCACCCCACCCCTGTCATTTCCTACTGGCTGGGAGCATCAGCTGCCTGGCTGGTTTGCGACAGGAAATTGTTTCCTCCACTTCCACTGGTAGGGGTCCAAATCAAGGCTAAGCCAACTCCCTGGGAAACTGCACCATCGCTGTGTGATGAGCGTGATACCGTGGGGATGCTCTGTGAGTGACACTGTGAGAGACAGGGCCCAAGGCAATGCTGCTGCTGAAACTCACACAGTAATCACCCAGAGTCCTTCCCCTACGATGGCCACACTCCGTCTGCTTTGTGAGGGCCCTCTCCTCGCTGCCCACGTCACTGCACCAGCAGCACCCCCACCCCCCGGGCTAGGGCCACCTTAGGCTCCTGACCCAGGCCGTCTGGTCACATGCCTTGAACAAGAGAAGAGATTTTTCTATCCAAAGCCCATTTCAGGTCTGCTTCCCACCTTTCTCCAGCAAACCTGACTCTCAGGAATGAATCCAAGGGACTGAGTAGAGACAGCCAGAAAAAGAAGACAGAGAGAGACAGAGGGAGGCAGAGATGAGAGGCCACTGTGCGTCTGTCCTGCTGGAGCCCTGCTGGGCACTGTGGTTTTCATTCCTTCCTGCCCCCTTTTGTGGAGCTGCCTCAGTGCCTCAGGTTGGTGGCATCGAAGGACCTGTCTACTATAGTTGGACTCTTGACTGTCCCCCAAAGGCCACCACAGGCCCAGAAGCAACCAGATCCAGTAACCATGGACTGAAGCCTCCACCACTGTGAACCCGAACACCTTCTCCTTCTCTGTGAGTTATTGTCAGGGTGTCTTGTTGCAATGACAGAAACCTCACTGCCACACTCTGTCCCAGCCACATAGAACGGGGCTGAGTGCCTGGTTCCTCACCAGTGACGCCTGGGGCTGTGTTCCTCAGGTCAGCAGAGTCCTGATCCGACAGGTGCTTCCGGATCATGCAGATCTTCAGTGCCAGGAAACCCGCGGAGATCATAACACCCAGCGCGGTCCCAATGAGGGCGTATTTGAAATCTGCAGCCAGGGAAACATGGCACCAGGACTTGGTGGCTGCCCTGCTCCATGCCTGGGTGAGTCAACGTGGGGCTCCTGGGCTTAGCATCGCGTGCTCCAGCTGTGAAGGCCAGGCCTAGAACATGCTACCCCACCTTCCCCGCTCCCTGGAACCAGAGCAGGCTGGCAGTCACCTACCAATCTCAGTCCCCATAGACTTGCCGGAGGCCAATACCCGAGCTCCTCCGACATCTGCAAAGAAAGAGAACTCAGCTGGCTGGGTACTCACAGCCGCCTGGAAGAGAGCTGCAGGGAACACCAGGGCACAAGCCAGAGATGGGGCAACCCTCCCATTGGCCTCCCCTTGGGAGCTCTGCTGGCCCAGTGGCCGCAGAGCCCAGGGTACTTGCTGTGATCTCAGAGCCCGCCCCACCACGGCCCTTTACAGTGTCCAGCTCCCATCCCCCTAGCCTGCACTCCCTGCCTCTGGGCCAATCCCTTTGCTTGTCCTCATCTGACCTGGTCCTGGTTCTAGGCACTTCCGCCCTGGCAGGGGAGGTGGGTGGTCCACTGCTGAGTTAGCCGCCCTTCCAGGGGACTCCAGAGCCACTGGGCTTGCCAGATCTAAAAGACCATCCCTTAGGGCCTGACTGACCACACTCCCAGGGACTAGCCAACCACGCCCATGTTCTTTAACATATACACAGCACTACTGTGCTGGTCAACTCCTGAGTATCCATCTCCTTGCTGGTTTCCCCACCAGGTTACACAGCACAAGGTTGAGCAGATGACACTGCGCCTGATACACAGCTAATCTCAACAGACATCTGCTGCAGGCAGTCAGGGAGGGAGGGAGGAAGGAAAGAAGGTAGGCAGGTGACGGTCCTGCAGCGTGCTGCACACCTGGCCGGTCAGCACTTCACTGTCTGGTGCATCGAAGGCATCTATGTGCCTAACTCAGCGGCAGCCCTGTGAGGAGCACCTCCGTGAAGGAGCTTTGGTGAAAGCTGACCCAAAGACTAGAGCACCGCACAGTATGCCGAGGGCCAAGCGAGGTAGAAAGTGGCCCAGGTGACCCAGCAGAGGCTAAGGTACAATGCTGTCATCTCCTTTTGTACACAGGGCTTCTCCATGGCCCCAGGGCAGGCCTGGAAGCTCAGATAGGGCCAAATCCTGAGTATATTGCTCTTTCTTGTACACACAGCTATGGGAAAGTTTAGCTTATAAATTACACATAGTGAAGAGTTTACCAATCACAATAGTAAAGCAGGCTAACATAACAGTACACTCTAAAAAGTTATTTAAAAGTCAGGAATTGTTTATTGCTGGAATTTTTTTATTAGTATTTTCAGGTTATGTTTGACCACAGGTGACTGAAACCTCAGAAAGCAAAACCTCATACACAGGGAGCTGTAACCCCAAACCACCAAGGCAGACAACTGAATGGGCTTGATCTGGGGAGCAGACAGGAGTACTCCGGCCTGGGACCCCTGGTGGGAAGGAAAGCAGAAGGAAGACATGGCCCTGGTGTCAAAAGAGCACCTTTAGCCAGTGATGGTGGCACATGTCCTAAATCTAAGCACTCTGGGAGGCTGATTCCAAATTCAAGCCCAGCCTGGGCAACTTAGCAAGACCCTATCTCCAAATTTAAAGAAAGAAAAGAAAAGGAATTGAAAAGGCCAGGGATGCAGCTCAGTGTGAAAGGTCTAGCTTAAATCCCTAGTACGGCAAAAACAAAAACAGGTTCTCTGCCTTGCCTGGCCCCTTCCCGCCCAGGGGCCAGGTCCTGTCTTCAGCAGCCTCACCAGCCCCACCCACCAGACACTTTGTCCTGAACACTACCTCTTTGCACCCTTCCCTGAAACCAGTTGTGTCCCCTCTAAGCTCCTTGAGCTTCAGGCTCTTGGCCCTGGGGTCTCTAACTAGGGACTCAGCTCATTACTGTCCAGAACAAAGCTCGTGGTGGCCCAGGCTATGTGCTCCCAGGCTGCGTCGTGGAGCACCTGCTAGCCAGCCTGCAGCCACTCGGCGGCAGCCTTTCCCTCCTCAGGGACAGGGCCTCCGTGTGGCCGGCGCGGATCCCTGCCTGCGGCTCCTCCGAGAACCTGGCCTCAGACCTTGAGGCACAGAGCGATTCCCTCTGCAGCCCAGCGGGGCACAAAGGCTCTGGCAGACTGCATGGCCGGTACATCGAGGACTCCAGCATTCCGGGAGGAGCCTGTAAAGGGCTGGAGCTGCTGAGCTCCAGGACCGCTCGCCAGGATCGGGCTGCAGATGACAAAGAGTAGCATGCTTAGCACTTGGCAGGCAGGCTATTGGACCAGGGGAAGTGCAGGGGGAGGGGGGCATCCCCTGAGAATGGGCCTTGAACCCCTCCCCTGCTGCCTCCTCCAAAGTCCTCAAGACTTTCCACAGCCTCCAAGTAGGCCTGGGGGTCCTGAACTCAGGAGAATATTTTGTTTGGGTTTGTTTCATTTTGTTTTGCAGTTCTACAGGTGGAACCCAGGACCTTCACACTGAGCTACGTCCCCAGCCCTTTTTATATTCATTTGGGAACAGAGTCTCACTAAATCTCTAAGTTGTGCAGGCTGGACTCAAACTTGGACAGCCTCCCAGAGAATTCTTTCCTTGGGGTGCCCCAAAATGCTCCATGAACTCTCCATTCTGGAGTCTGTGCTTTCCTCAAATGCACCAATGGACCTGATGCTTTGCCCCTCCTGCCAAAGTGATGTTCCCAGTCCCCTCTCTGCAGCCCTGCCCACCTCAGCCTGCTGAGCCAGTGGCTTCCAGACAGCAAGGGGCCTACTTCAAGAGTCAAAAGCCCTGGAAATCATGGCCCCAAGGAAGGTGACGGGTAGGCGGCTGGGCTTCCAGAGAGCCAAGACAAGCCACTTCCGTGGGAGCCAAGCATGCAGCCTTGCCCATCTGCTGGAACTCAACCCTCGGAGCCGCCCCTGGCATGCAGGCCTCTGTGCTGTGCACCTGTTGGGCCCACCCTTGCTGGGGGCCGACGCCTCTGCCGCCCTTATTTGGGCAGAATCAGGCTGAGTGAGCACTCAGATGTCATTCTATAAGTATCTGGCCTAAAAATAGGGAGAGGCTGCCCTAAGTGTGCGTCCATGCTGGTTGAGTCCTTCCTGGAACTGAAGTATTGCAGGGTCCCTCCCACAGGGGGCCTCAGGAAGTCTGGCATTTGCAGCTGGGAAAGAGTTTCAGCTGCCTGACCCGGCATCCATCCTCTCCTCCCAGAGTCCACAGCATAAACAAGAGCCATGCAAGATGTTCCAGGAGCTCTGGTGCCCAGGACAACCAAGGCCCATGTCCCCTAAGGAGAACAGAAGGAGTCCAAAGGGACAAAAAAGTGCCAGCTTGTCCCAGGGGATGCGCACACCTTTCTGCAAAAATCAGTCTCTGAGCTGGAGGGAGTCTGAATGGAGGACCAGTGTTGGTATTTGTGGAGTGGGCTGCCCAGCTCCCTGACACCTTGTCTCCTAGTGACCTTGGCTTTCCTCTTGAGGACCACCTCCATGGGATACCCAGGGAGCTGGCTTGAAGATAGATTTGGCACCCACACTGATCAATTAACATATTTTTTCTTCCTGTCAGTGGTCTTTGGTCAAGCCCAGTAAGATTCCCTCTAAACTCAAGGGCGAAATAATGAAAGGCAGGGGTATGTTATGGAATTAGTAAGATGGGGCAGAGCGAAGCCTGAAGCCACCAGGGGTGGAGAGAATTCGCTGAGACCAAAGTCCCTGCCAAAGAGGGAGAAGCTGAGACCCAGGCCTAGTGACAGCTTTCAGTCCACCTCTGCCTGAAGCCCTCCCCTTGGACTTTTCAGTTGCCTTAGTGAGGAATTGCCTTCTTTTTCTTCATTTTATTGGAGCTAAGTAGAGCCACTATGACCGGAAGGATCCTGGGGAGCTGGGCGACAGCTCTGCTGCAGGGTGGCTGGATGTCAGGCTGGCGAGCCCAGGATAGGCATGGAGAATGCTGACTGCTGACAAGGTGCTCCATGCATAGCCTTGAATATGCCCAATGGCCACATGTGAGACACGCGTCTGTGTACCTCGGTATATGCTGCTCCCTACTGCAGCACCTGCCCTTTGTCTCTGTGCAGAGATCGCCCTTCTAGACCAAGGGTGGCCCCGGTCATCCTCCACCTCACCACACCTCCCTGCACTGTTTTCTGGTGTTCAGAAGCACAAGGACACCAGCAACCCAAGGGAAACCATTTCTGCCCTGGAGTGGGTTGACCCAGGAGACTATGAGGAGCTTGGATTCTGCTGCAGGAGATGCAAGGGAGAAAGAACCTGGAACTGGCTGAGTAGTTGCCTGAAGCTACTGAGCATTGAAGCAGAAGCGGCTTGAGGTACTAAGTTCAGGGTTCACATGCTGCGAAATATGGGGGTTCAGGAGCCAGGGTCAGCCACAGGGAAGGAATCTACGGGTAGCCTTGCATATGAGACCCTGGGACCACGGCGAAGCCTCCGTCTTCCTAAGAGGCTGATGTCCTCAGGGCTCAGGGTCTGGTGACATACAACTCGCACCATGTGGCAGCCAGGAGGCTCAGAGAGGGACCTGGACTTGTGGCCCCTGGGTTCCACTGCACACTGCTGGAGCATAACTCACTTCTCCCCTGGGAAAATGGGGACTTGAGATGCTGATGTACAAGAAAGACTCTCCAGAAAGTGCTCTTCCCCATCCTGTACCCATGGCCTTCCTTGGCCAGCTGACCTGGGAGTTGGAGCAGACATGGGCACTCATTTCTAACTCGACTAATTTGGGGTCTGGATCCTGACAGCCCCTCCTTCTTGGAGCTCCTGAGTGGGAGCAGAGTCCAGAAAAATGGGGCAGCAGCCCCGATCCCACCCCTTGGTACAGGGCACCGCTTCAGTCCTCTCCCAGCAGGTGCACCCACCACAGCGGTGCACCGGGTCACAGATCCTGCTGACAGTGCCATGGCCTGTAAAGACCACAGATGCCTGGCATGAACCGGGAGCTCATCCTGGGTCACCTTTTCCTGTCTCATCAGAATTCAACTTTCCATAAGCAGAACACCATCCACCCATCCCACAGTACTCTGTGCCCTATCCTTCTCTGCCAGGATGGGTTTGGGTCAGAACCTGAACATATCAATCAGGCCGAGCTGTGCAGGCTGAAAGAGGGCCAAGCAGAGAGGGCTTTGGGTCAGGAGCCTGAGGATGCCCCATGTTTCCTACAGACCCTGCATCCCAGAAAGAGGAGTCAGTGAA